GTCGCGGATTCGATTCCTGTTCGCGGAGGATAGTTTTGGTCTAAACCAAGTGATGTACCAATATCACTGATGATGCGTGCTTGCGTTAAAATAAATCATACGTACATGTGGTATTGCATGAATCAGCAATTAACACGCGTATCTTTCGTAAATAATGTTTAAACCATAATTACTAGTATGTAAAGGTACTTACTAGTATAAACATCCAGTGAACTGCTGTCAAAACAAGAGGATAATTCACTAGGCGTTTTTCACGCCTGAGATTTCGTGTATTCATGAAATCATCAGTCCACGAAGAAAAGACTGATGAAAAAGGTTGTCGGCAGTTTCAATGTCAATGCATTCTTGTATCGTTGGTCGCATATGATGTACTTTGCTGATTGCAGTATGGAGGAAAGAGAAGATGCAAGTAAAAGAATAAATTCACAATCAAAAGACACAGCAGTAACCGTGATCAATCAAATACGTTTACATGTGTTGACGTCCAGAATAAGTGAACTAAAATTTAGCTGAAAGTATAACTCGAATTCCAAAATTGAATCTTTTAACTTCATCAAACTGCATGTTTCCCATTAAAAACTGCATTCCTCATCTGAAAATTTGATTTGTGGATGGTAAACGAACGAAAATACGCTGTTCATTGCGTTGCTAGGAAAGCGAAAAAAATCGCGATGAAAGGACACCAGGACTGATTTTGCTCATCGTCTTCATAACCGAGAAAATAAAATCAATGTCAAAAATAATGCGATCGATAATTGACATTCCCTCTTACGAAGAAGAGTACACGAAAATAACGGGATTATGAACATTCAAATCCGCTTTTAGATGTGTCAGAGAATGAAGAAGAGATAATCAACAATGAGACAAAGAAGCATTTCACTGTCATGATAATGATGAATCGTTGCAAAAATTTGACAGCTAGTTGGGAATGATCAAATAAAAATGGGTCTGTCAGTATTGTCCTTGTCAGCGTCAGTTTCGTATCATATCTGTACCATCGAAAGTGTTCGTGGTCTGATGATGGTCACATTCTTACTGCTACGACGAATATCGCTGTAACGAATTGATGGCAATGAGCGTCGAACTTTTCTCAAATAAATTGCCCCAGAAGATGTCGGTCGTTGATTTGCTTCACTTTTACAGCTGGATCCATCCACTATGGCTGTATTCCGTGTCGTGTTACTAAGCGGGAAGGAACTGCTCTGCAGCATCAGTTGCCTGCAATGAATTCTGCTTGAGTCTTGAAGCGTTGAAATGATGACACTGTACCGTTTACTCGTAAACGATTAGGGAGATATTGTAAAATGACTGATTACAAGGCGATAAAATGGTGACAGAACAAAACAGGTGGAATGGTTCAACTTTTGAGTGGATATGGTCCTCGTTTTGCGATCGTAAACGATGCTCACGACAATGATTCCGTGACACTTATGCAAGCGGAAACATTTGACATTTCTGAAGAGGCAGCGAATCATAAAATTCACATTGAATGGGAAGCATTGGAGGACGGATAAACTTTCGAATATTTTTGTAAAATTTAACAGATACGCTGAATGAATGACCACCTGAAATGTCCGAACCCTCACCTAGAGAATGTTTACCTGAAACTTTTGCATTGCAAAATGTGTCGACACACTTCAACGAGACGTTGTCGGAATGTTTTGGAACTCAGGCAGAATAGTGCAAAATTTAATGATTTACCAATTACCACCATACAATTCGTTACAATTTGCTGCAATTCGCGTAAATTTCGTTTAAAACGTTATCAAAATCAAATGTATTATTTACTCTCAAATGTATTATTTAATCACAATCTGACAAAATAATTTATCGTCTACAAATTCTGTTTTCATTTAAACAATCGAATTTGCGCTAATTCATTGTTATCACACACCTGAAACGAAATCGTCATCTGACTAATGAGCATTGCTAAGAATATTCGATAGAATATAATCAATTACATTACAATCATACCAGGTTCATTTTCCATTCAGGTCCACGGAACGTTGGATTACCCAGTATTGTTGGAAGCAAAACCGATGGAGCCTAAATGATTTAGTAATCAATGATTCCAGGATGGAATTGCCATACGATATTAATTAAATCTGTTTTCATGAGGATGTTTCCAAGTCATTTCGCATAATCAGCCTCATTAAGACAGATTTAATAGGTGTTTTGAAGCTCTTTCTGAGTCGTCTTTCAGAAAGAGTCCCGGGCTCTTTCTGAAAAACAACTCAGAAAGAGCTTCTTAACACCTATTAAAATTTAACCTATGAAATCTGTCTTAATCTGTTAAAAGTTTCAGGTAAACATTTTCTAGGTGATGGTTCGGACATTTCAGGTGATCAATCATTCAGCATATCTGCTAAATTTTACGAAAATATTCGAAAGTTTATTCGTCCTCTAAAGCTTCCCATTCAAAATGAAGACATACGACGAATGAGAGACTAGTAAGTTTTAGGTTTATCTAAGCTTACGAAAGATTCACCTAACGTAATGATAAAAGTTTTAAAAAATGGTGAGTATTCAGTATTTGATTGAATATGTTCTGATAGCTGTCATCATTCTGGTTCAGAAAAATAATAACTTGATGACGCTTCGGTTGTTACTATCGGTTGAAGCAATACATGTGATTCAATAGGTAATTGAGAGCAACGAACTTGAGTAACTGTGAAGCAAGTGACAATTGCACATGCAGAATATGTGATTTTTTGTTCAATACGTGCTTGCGACGTTAACCTAGATCCTGATTTCGTACTATCATTGAACATCAGCAGTGTATGACTCCTGAAAGTTGCATTCATCGATGACTTACAAACAGAGTTTACAATCATTTATTATTCCACAAAATTTCTTTCCATCAACATAAACCATCTCGGTAATTTGTATCTTAAACGAAAATCAACGCAGACATAAACATAAACGAAAATCACAACAAAGAAGTTCTAATTTATCTGTGACGAGCAGCAGCACAGAG